ATTCCCACCAATTCCGGAATTGCGTGAACTACTTCTAATCACGGAATTACACGGAATTCCTACCAATTCCCGCCAATTCCCACCGATTCCGGAATTGCGTGGACTACTACTAATTACGGAATTATACGGAATTCCTACCAATTCCGGAATTGGACGGAACTCGATCAATTTTCGAGTGGGTATCGGATATTATGTGTCGATCGAGTTCCCGGAATTGAACGGAATCGATTCCGGAGCGGAACTGGTTCCTGAAATGTTCAACATTGCGGAATAGGATGACTGCTCATTTAAATATAAAATGAAAGAAAAACGGAAAAAGAATCGTGTCGAAATACAATCATGCTTGATTTTTATCTGTTGTTGTTAAATAAATAATATTATCCTGCTTGACATCTCATTGTTTTTCAGTCTAGAAATCATCGTTTAGAGATATTTTTCTTTCTCAATTTATTTATATACAAATGTTCTGCTTATTGGCATGACAACAGCATGCAATTTTAGGAGATGGAAGAGAGAAAAGCAGATATACATCATATATGTCCACGATACAGAAAAAAAACAGTGAAAGAATTGCAAAACGTATTTTGCATATTATCGGGAGACTATTGAGAATTTCTAAGAAAAGATCTTAAGAGTTAACTACTAACTCCAGAACCTAAAGCGAGACAAGATTTGATGGCCTCGCGTTGCTTTCAAAATAGTGTAAATACTACGTACATATGGTACCTATCTGATATTGACAACTAACAATAAACGAGAATTTGGCTAGTTTGAGGGTGCGGGTGTGAGTTAGACATAATATGCCTACTCTTCCACATGTCCATACCGTCACCCTATTTTATTTATTGCAAAAGACCAACATTTATAGCAGAGAAGGAGAAATACCATTTGACATTACAAAACAATGAAAATCACAATATAGAATAGAACGCGGAAAAGTAAAATTGACAACAATTGATCACAACACTTTCTAAAACACTTCCATCTATACAATCTACAAGTATTAGAGAACAATGTCATTTCACAGAATCATTACATGTGACTGTCTATTTCAAAAACTCTTAATCTTTAGTATAGGTGATTCCAGTGGCTTTGAAAGTGGTGTCTCTTCCTCACAGTGGTTGAATTCTATTGTTTTGTAGTCCAAAATTTGTCATTTGTTCTTCTCTTCTCGTTTGCTGTTGAGTAACCGTGTTTATATTGTGTGCCATGGTATTCAGACGCTCATTATTTCTTTGTATTTGTCTTCTGAAATATGGAAGTAACTCCAATACAGCTTTCCTTAGTGATGGTGTTTGTAAAATTGTTATGATATGAATAAAACTCATTCTAATAGCAATAAAGAGATAACTGAGACGATAGGTTAGAAAGTGTGTTTGATATTGATTGACTATTGCTTGAAAGAAAAGTACTATATATACAATACCGAGAAACATAAGTGAGCATTATAAATTGACGATCAATTGTTTGTCGACGTTGAATAGTAATCGTTGTTGTTCGAGTAGCATAGATATATATCCAGAGATAGATTATAGCAAAAATTGTTAGAAAAACTCCGTAGACA